TAAATCCACTGAAGAGAACAGAATGAAGACCAGAAGAAATCACAGACAAACAAGGACAGTTCTGAAAGTAACAGGTGAATTTACTATATAATTGAAAAAGTAAAGCAAGCTGGGCATAACTGAGCCTCACAGTTTCATGCACAGCCTTCTCTTTCTGTTGTACACTGTATATGGTTGATGTTTGTTAAATTCAGAATTTCAAAATTGAGCTTAATGGGGGAAAAAGAACATGGGTACAGAGCTGACTGTGAAGATTAATATAGAATGAACTACTGTCATGGACAGTAGAGCACAAGTGGCCATCATGTTCCTATTATTCTATGAAAGACACCTGAAGAAAATACCTATACAGCCTCTTGTAGGTTTTGACCTTGAGGGCTCAGTGACAAAAACTACCCATAGTCAGGATGCATTGAGGTGACCTTAGAAATTGCATGAAGATATTGTTGGTAGCAACAAAGTGATTCTGGGCTCAGCATGTCTGGATCCTTTATGGGTCAATGGGGCATCAGCTCTAATTGGGACCAATTCTAGTCTTTTCAGAATACTAGCAGAATACTGCAAACAACAGTCTGAGACTTCCTACCTGAAAGCTTTGACCATCTGTGCAGGAGGATAGAGTCAAGTGGTGACAGTGAACCTTACATGGACAATTCCAGCTCTTCAACCACTGAAGTGGATCCTGAGATATTGCACTTTGGGGATTCCTCAGGACCACAGGAATGGAAGGAGAGGCTGAGGAGGAAGAGGACAAAATATCACTCACCATTCACTTTCTGAAAATGAAAGCTTTACCTGAGGCTTGGGGACATATGGGCCAAAAAAGGACCCTGAAGGTGGGGAGAAATAGACTCTACCGGACCAAGAGAGTTTTAGATGTCAGCAAGAAGTGTGAGACTTGTGGCCAGCGTGGATAAAGAGAAGTGCCACCAATTTGTGCTACAGAACTACCAGGAAGCCTATCACACTTGTCTTCACTGCCTTCCTCTCTCTGGAAGAAAAGAACAAGCACCCAAGTCATCTATTGGTGGTAATGGACCACTTCACTAGGCATACACAAGGACTGTATACACCCAGCCAGGAGCCAGAAAACCTCCACAATCGCCAAGGTATTGCAGAAGTATTTCTCTCCATAAATATTCACAGCAGCTCTTTTTGTAGTGGCAAAACCCTGGAAATGAAAGCCATGCCCGTTAACTGGGGAATGAATGGCTGAACAAATTGTGGGTATATAAATATAATGGGATACTATTGTGCTCTAAGAAATGATGAAGGGGATGAGTTTAGAGAAACCTGGGAAGGCTTGTACAAACTGATGCAGAGTGAAGTAAGCAGAATCAGGAGAACAATTTATACAGTAGCCACGACAACTTTGAAAGACTTAAGAATCATGATCACTCCGATGACTGTCGTGGGCCAGGATACTGGTGATTTGGGACTGTTCTGAGCAAGAAAGCTGTGGAACAGACCTGGGGTAGTTGGGTTAAAATGTTTGCCAGTTGGACTAATCTAGGACCCACCTGTGGACCCTTTGGACAAAGAGAGTACAAGAGATGCCAAGGACCCTCCTTCTCAAAACGCTTTTAATCTTCTGGACAAGAGGTATTCATCTGCTTTCACCCTGGGCCATTGGAATATATTGTTAGGAAATGGATTATTGGTTTGAACCTTCAGGCTCTGAGTGATTGGTAGCCTAGCATGTGGAATAGCAACCAAATGACGGCCATGGCATCAATGATGAAATACACTATCTACTCTTGGCCAAAGAGGGAATAGACCCAAGACCAAGAATGAGACACATTTTTTGCTTTTTCTAAATTAAAAAAAAATTTTTTTGAGACATGTTTTTGGACACGAGAATTTGTTTTGTTGCGAGGGTTTTGTTCCCCTTCTGCACACTTTTTTGGGTCAGCCAACAAGCATTTATTAAGTGTTTCCTATGTGCCTGGCACTGTGCTAAGTGATGGGGATACAAAGAAAGGCCAAAGACAGTCCCTACCCTCAAGGAACTCACACTCCAACGAAAACAACTATATAGAAACAAAACATATATGAAGTGAATTGGATGGAATCTCAGAGGAAACTAGTGTTTAGGGGGCCTGGGGAAGGCTTCTTGCAGAAGATTAGGTTTTAGCTGAGATTTTAAGGAAGTCAGGAGACAGAGATGAGGAGGGAGATGATTCCAAGCAAGGCGGATAGCCAGTGAAAATGCTCAAAATTGGGAGATGAAGTATCATGTGGGAGATGGTACAGAGGGAGAAGTCAAGAGGGCCCAGGACAGAGTCTTTTTATTTATTTTTTTATTTTTATTAATTTATTTTTAGTTTTCAACATTCACTTCTATAAGCTTTTGAGTTTTAAATTTTCTCCCCCTCCCTCCCCTCTCCCCTCCCCAGGATGGTATGCAGTCTGATATAGGCTCTACATATACATTCCTATTAAACATCTTTTCACAATTACGATGTCCTAAAGAAGAATTAGGATCAACAGGAGGAACCACGAAAAAGGAGAAACAAAAGAAAACAGAAGAAAAAGAGAGCAAAGAGTCTGCTTCGATCTGCATTCAGACTCCACAGTTCTTTCTCTGGATGGGGAGAGCATTTGCCATCACGAGGCCTTTGGAGATGTCTTAGATCCTTGCATTGCTGAGAAGGGCTAAGTCTATCCAAGTTAGTCATCGCACAACGTGGCTGCTCCTGTGTACAACATTCTCCTGGTTCTGCTCACTTCCCTCAGCATCACACCATACAAGCCAGGACAGAGTCTTGACGGACACCTAGGGTGAGTGGGCATCAGCTAGATGAAGAGCCAGCAAAGAAGCCTCAGGAGAGGTCAGACAGGTGGGAGGAGAACCCAAAGAATTTCCTGAAAACCTGAAAAGGACAGTATCCAGGAGAACGCTGTCAACAACATTGAATGCAGCGTAAAGGTCAAGAAGGATGAGGACTGAGAAAAGACGAGATTTGGCAATGAAGAGAGGTTATTGGTAACTGGAAAGAATCATTTCAATTGAATGATGAGGTCAGGAACCAGATGTCAGAAAGCTTAGAAGAGAGGGAGAGAAGTAGAGGCACAGATTGCAAATGACTTTTTTAAGGAGTTTAGCCGCCATGGAAGGGAGGAGAGATCTAGGATGATAGCTGGTGTTAACAGATAGATCATGGAAGGTTTTTTTTAAGGATTGGGGAGTCACGGAAGCAGCCAGCAGAGAGGGAGAGCTTGAAGATTAGTGAGTGAGGATGATAGAGGGAGTGATCTACTGAAAAAGATAAGATGGAATGGAATGAAGGATGCAGGTAGAAGAGTTTGCCTTGGCAAGAAGGGCTACATCTTTCATCTGAGATGGGGGTGAAGGACAGGACAGTGGCAGAAGGCAGCTTGGTGATGTGACAGGAGGAGAGGAGAAGAGGGAGCTGAAAAGTTAATGGACTTAATTTTTTTTTCTGTGAAATGTGAAACAAGGTTTTTAGCTGCAAGGATGCCATAGGAGGTTTGAGGAGAAATGAAAAGGGCTGGAAAAGTTGCTACACTGAGTGGAATGAGGCATTGATTAGGGTGGCATTGCCTTGCCACAGTGAGGCCCCAGTCTGAGATCACACACTATAAATTCGGAGAGGACCCAGTCAGCAAGGTTTCCTGATTCTTCTCCAATTTCATTCAGCAGTATGAGAGTAAGAGTGAAGGCAGTGAATGGGGGGGGGGAGTGATCAAAAGCTGAGTCTCAGCAGGGCAAGATTGGGGATAGTTAACGTGCTTGAGGGATTCAAGGTTGAGCTGGTTCACCAATGAAGAAAGGTAAACAGTGTAGCCAGTACGGGGTGATGGCTTGGGAAAGAATTGAAGGGCAGGAGGATTGTTGGTCATGGTGAGGATGAAGAACAGGGTTGGGGTGTTTGGCAGGTAAAGGGAAAAGATATACATACAGAAGATTAGGGATCTCACAATTGATGACCCTGGAAATAGAAACATTTGTGGGTGATAGCAAGGTCCATATTACCATCTCCACGGGTAACCTATGTGGATTGTAGGAGGAAGTCATGGGAAACGATCAGACTGAAGAAGGAACGGAATTAGGGTTAGAATTCAGTGTTTGATGGCGTACCTGTCTGTCTCTCATCTATCTATCTATGTTGAAGTACACCCCACACCTCCCGTAGGAGAGCAGGAGTTGGGGAGGAAAGCTAGGAGTCAGGCGCCGAATCTTTAGGACGGAGAGAGTTCTGCAGGTCAGTAAACAACAGCCACCAGAATCTTTTTGAGGGGAGGGGGGAGAAGGGCTGTATACGTGGATTAAGAGAAGTTCGAGGATGAGGAGCGGTTACTAACTGATTGTGGTAAGCTGGACAGGGGCAGGGAGGCTCCTGGAGCATCCCAGCTCCCTGGACCACTCACTCCTGGTGAGCTGGCGAATGAGCGAAAGCGCAACCAGTGTTGGAGGGGATGGCATCAGGAAGGAGCCAGAAGGTGGAAGGAGTGGGAAAGGGGAGAGGTCTCGGGGAAGGCAGACATTGCGGAGAGCACAGTGGAAGGGGTGCGCTGCTCTGGCGTGCGATGTTGGGGGGCTGCAGGGCCCCCAAGGGGTTGACAGGTTGACAGGAAGGGAGGGGGACGTGGGGGAGGGGAATGAGGTTCGTACACTGACAGCTGGGCTCCCGAATCCCTGCGCTGGGGAGGGCAGGAGGGGGTGGGAGTATGCTAACCATTGCGGAGGGAGTCCAGGCAGATTCTCCGTGACTGGCGAAGAGTCCACGGAGGGAGGGAGAAGGAGGGAGGGAGGGGAGGTGATTAGCCTGTTGTGGGCCCTCCCTCAATGTCCAACCTTGTGGCAGGTGGTGATATCGAGTCCTGTGAGGCCCAGGAGGCCAGACTCCCAGCAGGCAGCTGGAACAGTCGGCGATAGAGCCCGAGGGAGCAAGGAGCCACTGCTGCTGCTGCTGCCGCCGCTGCCGCTGCCGCCGCCGCCGCCGCCGCCGCCGCCGCGCCGCTGCCCCCGCTGCCGCCTCTGCCGCCGCCGCCGCCGCCGCCGCCAGTCGGAGGTGGGTCTGGGCAGGGACGGACCGTCTGCCTGTATTGCCGCCTCCGCGCCCGCCCGTGCGCCCGCAGCTCCCCTGCGCACCAGAGACACCCCAGGCGCCCCAGACAGAGGCCCAGGCCTGCAGCCCGGCTGACGCAGGGTACCCTGGGAAGAGGCAAGAGCCCCGAGTAGCCCCGGGCAGGTGGGCTGCCGCAGCGGTCCCCCCACCCCACCCCTTCCCGGCCGTGGGACACAGGGGACTAGCCCTATTGGGGCCATGCTGCGCGCCCTGGCGGCTGCCCCGCCTCTCCAGGGCGTCCGCCGGGAGGGGGTCGCTCACTGGAGGGGGGCCCTGGGGGTCGGGGCGAGGTTGGGGGGGCGGTGGTCCTGGGTGCGGGAGAGGGAGGGCAGCAGGGAAAGGGGGGGACGGGGTCCTGGGCACCGTTCCTGTGCTTGGATGAGGAGGCAGTGGAGAGGGGGGTGTGGTCCTGGGCACCCCTCTCCTGTGAGGGGGGTGGGGTGGATGGGGATGATCTTGTTCGCCCCTCTCTAGTACCAAGGGGGTGGCCTTAGGGGCCCCTCTCCCGTGCCAAGAGGGCGGGGGCTAGAGGGGATGGTTTTATGTGCCCCTTTCCCGCTCCAAGAGGAGGGCGGTGGCGAGAGAGGAGATGGTTTTTTGCGCCCCTCTCCCGTGCAAGAAAGGAGGGAGTAGTCTGTGGCGAGAGGATAGCCTTGTGCACCCATTTTCCTGTGCCAAGAGGGCACAAAAGGGGGATGGTCTTGTGCGCCCCCTTTCCATGGCAGAGGGAGGCGGTAATGAGGGGGAAATGGTCTGGTACACCCCCTCCCCCAGACATGTGTCTCTGCAGAGCTGGCTCCTAAGGGCCCCTTGCGCCCTATCAGTCTGTGGTGGCCTGAGGTTTGGGGGAGGAAGCACAGAGCTGGGCCTGGACTAGGGGGAGGGGCACGGGGCAGAGGGCTGGGCCCATACTCCCCCCACCCAAAAAAAATATGTTTTGCACAAACAAAACCAATGCAGTTAAAATTAGAAGGGAAACAGGTAACTGAGAGGAAAATTGCAGCCCATTTCTCTGATAAGGATCTGATCCAAGGTATAAGAGGGAACTGATTTCAAATTTATAAGATCAAGAACCATTCTTCCCACAGAGAAATGGTCAGAGGCTATGAACCAGTCAAGGGAAGAAATCCAAGCCATCCACAGCCATTGGAAACGATTCTAATGTTATTCTTTTTTTGGGGGGGGGAGGGGTAGGAAAGGTAAGGGGGCCGGGGGATTGCAATAGGGTGGCCAGAAAAAAGGGAGGTGAGGGGTCAGGGGGATAGCAAGAGAGTGGCCAGAAAAAGGGAGGTGAGGGGCCAGGGGATAGCAAGAGGGTGGCCAGAAAAAGGGAGGTGAGGGGCCAGGGGGATAGCAAGAGGGTGGCCAGAAAAAGGGAGGTGAGGGGCCAGGGGGATAGCAAGAGGGTGGCCAGAAAAAGGGAGGTGAGGGGCCAGGGGAATAATAATAGGGTGACCAAAATAAAGAGAGGTGAGGGGACCAGGGGGATAGCAAGAGGGTAACTAGAAAAGGGAAAAAACAAACAAAATCAGGAAAAAGAAGTGAGCCAGGATGGCAGAAGCATGTTTCTCCTCTGGACGAGAGGCGATGGGTTCAGGGCACTGAATGACACCTCCATTTTCAGCCATGCTTCAATTTATTCAGTCCATCTATACATGTTTGTTCAGAGAGTTTTGTTTTTCTATTTTTTTCCCAATGGGGGTGGGAGGAGGGAGGAAGAAAAAGTTTGTTAATTGAACAAAATTAATTTTTTTGAAACATGTTTTTTGAAATGCACAGCAGAGAATGGAAGGTGAACCAGAAGGCCTCCCAGCCAAGCAGCACAGAAGCATTTTAAGTGCCTACCATGTGCCATGGACTGTGCTGAGGAAACACACACACACACACACACACACACACACTAAAACAATCCTGACTCTCAGGAAGCTTGGGGGGTAGGGGACATCCATAAGAGAATAAATACCAAACCAAGGCCAGGTTGGTGGATCAGGGGGGCATTAGTTCTTGGGTTGGGGCAGGGAGGAGGGGCAGTTCCAGGTGCAGGACAAAGATGGTCCCTTAGCTGCTAAGAGCTCAATGAAGTGGAGGTAGGAAGGGTGGGCATTCAAGAACCCTTCTTTGTTCTACTTTACATAAAGCAATGGTAATTTTCTTTGGTACTTAGGTTCAGAATTTTTTAAAAATTACATTTAAAAAGTTGTGGGCCAAAGCTGACTCTGACTCATCTGTGGGTTCAAGTTTGGGATTAGAACAAAAAAGGGAGGCTCTTGGAACCCCTGGAGTGTTAGCAAAAGGAGGTTTTGTGGACCAACTGTCTGGAGGATGGTTTCAATGCCTTTGAAGGCAAAACCAGCTTGGCACGTGGAAATGAGGATGCTCCTCCCAATGCAGGTGGGCAACTTCTCTGCCATTTAAAGTCTTAGAGTATTAACTGGGGCCCTGAAAGGCCAGGGCCCCAGGGCAAGTCAGTGTCTGAGGTAGGCCTTGAACCCAGCCTGCCTGACTCCAAGGCCACACAGCCTCAGACAGCTGCACTGGCATTGTCCCTCTGGGTCTTCAGAATTTCCTTCTTGACAGTTTCCCGTCCCCCTGGGCTGACTTTTCCTTCAGAATTTAGGTCTGCTCTAATGTTCCTTGGAAACCTTACACATCTGCTCTCTTTGAGAGTAGGGTGCATACCTCCCATGTGCTCCTTCCCTATCACAGACTCTAGGGGTGAGGGAGTGGTCATGTCCACCCTCCCCATAAAAGCCCCAGCAACCCAGTCCTCCCTGGTTCCTGGATGGCCTCACATGACTATACTTTTTCATATGCAGTGTTAAATCCACCACCACTATCCCTTTTCCTTTGGGCTCCTTTAGCTCTCCTGCCACTGGCTTTTTGGACTCTTGGCTCTCCATCACCCCCATACACACACACACACACACACACACACACACACACACACACACACATACACACACACACACTCCCATACCCCTGCCCCTGGCTCCAGTGACTGTATTCATGTCCTGTGTATAAAGTCCAGTTATTCTATACCAGTCAGTGTAGACCCTGGTCTATCAAGGGGTGATCATGACACTTGGAGTTCCTTTTTCATAGCCTTGTTGCAAGAGCCCAATGAAATGCCACTCCCCCTTAGGCCTGTTGTGAGCCTTCGAACACTAGAGAAACGGCAGTTAGGAGAATCATGCCGATTGCTATTATTTTCAGGAATCATGTCTCGCAAAGGCAAAAGTGGTGTTTCTTCCATGAATGACGAGGAGGCCCTTAATTTCTCTTCTGAGGAAGCAAAGGGTGATGATCTCCAGGAAATTAAGAAGGAGTTGGTGAAGATTGAAGAGAAGGTGGATGCTCTGCTGGCCAGCCTGGAGCAGATGGAAAGTGATCCGAGTGAGCAGTGTGAACCATACGTGAGGAACAGACCTGAGGAGGAGATGGAGAGTAACAGTGCCGTGCAGGAAGCTGATGCCAACATGGAGATGGAGGAGAGTGGAGGCACTGACGATGACGCCGGCAACCATGCTTAGGAGGGGCCCGCCTGGAGGAGGAGGACACGAAGATCGAGGCAGGGAGGACCAGCTGGGGTGGCTCTAGAATGATGGCGGTGGCAGCCCTAGAGGAGTCAGAGGGCAACAGAAACACCATTGGGGTGAGCAGCGTTCTTTAGTGCCTATAGGGCCCAGATGGAAGGCTTGCCCCTTCTTGTCACAGCCAGGCCCTTGTCCTAGAGCCAGCCTCCCGGGTCCTCTCCAATTGTATCTTTCAGCATATGCTCCCTGTTGTCCTCAACCTTACTCTCCCCAGGCTCATTAGCTCCCCTCCCTGCTACAGGTGGCCCCTTTCCTGTTTGCTGTGGCTCCCCCTAAGAGTTTACAGTAAGGCCCCTGTGATTTTCTTCACTTAACTCTTGTAACTTTTTTCGGGTTCCACAATAAAAAGTTCTATTGCTCTGTTTGTAGTTTGCTTTTTAAAAGGGGTCCTTGGTGGTGGGGGTGGGGGTGATGGATCCTGGAGCTAGTGGGAGTCCCTGGTCTTCAGGAACTAATGTGGCCAAGAAGCAAAGACCCCATTGTTCTCAGTAAGACACTGCAGCTATCCAGCTGGTCCTTGTATGTGGGAGTCTGGAAACAAAGGCCTGTGGTCAGGGGCTCCACAGTGTCACTGCTCCCTCATCTCTATCTCATGGGTAAGGCTGTACCCAGGCCAGGGCCACGAGGTTTTAATCTGGAATACCAAAAATCAGGGGGCATACTTCTCTGTGGTCTTCCACTATTCTGCTATCCCTGTGCCTTCTGGTCTTCAGCCTGCCCCTATGCCATTGGATTCCATGAGAATTTCTGTTTTCCTTGTGTTATGGCAAGTTCTTGCACCACTACTTGGAGATTTTGCACACCTGTCCTCCTTCGGCCCATGCTCTTTAAGAGCTTAGGGCCTTGTTACAAGGTCTTCAGTCCGAAGACTAGGGAGTGGTCAGGACAGGGGAGAGGGAGGGAATATCTCTGGGTGAAGAACAACAGCGCCTTTGTCTCTGAGCCAATGGAAAGGTAGAGTGAAGAGCTTGGAATAACTAGATGAGTCGTCTCCGGGCTGGCTGTATCCAGACCACCTGGTGCCTCAACTGGGTCTTTGCTAATCATATTAGCCAGATCACTGATGAACTGTCCTCTTCCAATGGTACAGCTATCCAGTAAGGGAGTGTTATGTGGTGGCAAGGTGAGGTCATTCATGCTGAATATAGATCCCTAAACTGCTTGGCATTGCTGAGAGAGGCTAGGGGAGCCAAGAGAAACACTCCCCTGTGCTCAGCACTCTTCCAAGGTCCTGGGGGCTTCTTCAAATGGGGGGGGCAACAAGAAACAGGGGGGTAGGGGAATAGCCTAGTGAGTCATTTCAGAAATGCCAATGAGCACAGTTGGAGGGGTCCTCAGAGGTAGACAGTCCAAGCTGGACCCAACCAGGAATTCCTGGCCCTCTCTAAGACTTCCAGTGAGGGAAAGTACATTGGGAGCATCACGTCCCAGACTGACCCTGGCCTGTGAACAAGGGGCCTCATCTGTGTCCCAGATGAGGACCACAAAAAGAAAGGAATGGAAGATAATGTACTGCTCAGGTCTGGAGCAAGGCTCTGGGCAGGCAGAGAACAGTGCACAAGGGCACTATGACGTTAGCAGTATTCAAACTGTAGGGGGCAGTGGTGCCTGAGGCTGGTTCTGCTGGTGAAGCCTGCCTCTCCTGCCCAGAGCATTCTGGGAAGTCAGTCCCTCAAAGAGTTGTCAGTCAGCTTCTTTCCTCCATTGAAGCTGTACTGCCTGACCCTAAGGACCACGTCTTTTCTTTCATCTTGACTGGTACTGATTCACCAGACCAGGAAATGGAAACCAATGGTAAACAGCTCAGGGCAGAGGTCAGACATGGAGGTACCTAAGGGATTTGGAGCACCATTTTACTGAGAGAAACGAAGTCTCAGGGGGCAGGGGTGACCCTGAGGGTTTTCACAGAGATGGAGATTAAGGCCTACAAGGTGTCCAGGGCTGTCTCAGTATTAAAGGCCTACCTTACAGAGACAGACTGAGCGATACAGGGGAGAAAATCAGGAACTAGGGCTCTTAGGAACCATGCAGGCCACCCATGTTTTACAGGGCCCTTAGAGCCTATCAGGTCCAACCCCTTTATTTTACAAAGGGGAAACCTGAAGATCCAGAAGAAATTGGACTTCCTCCTCCCCACCCATATCTTCTCTCTCTCTTCTCCCCCTCAGAGATGGCCTTTAGAGACCACCCAATCTAACCTTTCCTCTCCCCCTGCCCCTCCCCCCTTTGATAGAGGGTAAAACAGAGTCGGGGGCAAGGGGATTTGGGGGCAAACACACCATGGTGGCAGCACCCACTCCCTGCATGAGGCATGAGTAGACTTGCCTCTCTTGTTACTGCTAAGGGGAAGTGGGAAACTGAGGTGGACCCCATGAGGAAGGCCTTTAGAATAGGAGGGTATCAGAGCTGGAGGCAGAGCCCTCCAGGGGCAGTCCTTTGGTGGCTTTCTTTATGGAACAGTGCCAGTCCAAAGGAACCCCTGAGTCAATCTGGCTACCAGAGCAGGGATTAGGGATCTCAGGGACATTCCCTTCCAGTCTTCACCCCTTCCCCTCCTGCCCTCCCTGCTACCTACCCTCACACACTCCCCCCCCATTCTACCAAGTGGAAAATAGAGGCCTCACAGGGAGGAGGAGGAGGAGCCTTCTTTTCATAAACCACACCTCCCATCCCCCTCACCATTATCACCATCAGAAGAGAACTCAGAGTTACAGTAAGGCCTCCTAAATCCCATTGCTAAGCCCAAACCCAGCTTTTGAGAAAAAAAATTGAGGCTCAGGGCCAGTCAGTCAGGATCACAGAATGTCAGAGCTAGAATCAATGTTCAAGGCACAGCTATTATGATCCCCATCTTATAGAATGCATGAAAGAGAACAATGGGAAATAAGGCAGGAAAGGTAGTTCCTAGGTGGTAACAGGGGACTTTAAATGTCAGGTGAGTTTCCATTTAATCCTGTGGGTAGCAAGGGACCCCTGGAATTTATTGAGTGGAGGGATTCATGGGCCAAACTGCTTTATGAAAAGCACCTTTAGCAGCTGTGGGGACATCAGATTGGTGAAGGGAGAGACAGGTGAGCCATGATGAGGTTGTGAACGAAGCAGTGCTCATGAGGGTGCAGGAAATGAGGGTGGATCTGAGGGATGGTGTAGAGGCCAAAGCAGTGGGCTTTACGACCATCTGTCAACCAATATGCATTCATCAGGCATCGACTTCAATTTATGCCAAGTGCTGTGCAAAGCCCTGGGGATGCAAAGAAAGGCAAAAACATGGCTCCTGGCCTCAAGTAGCTCACATTCTAATGGTGGAGACAACTTGTAAACAACCATGTATAGCCAAGATCTACATGGTGCACGTGGAAGGTTTTTTTCAGTAAGAAGGCACTGAGCAGGTGGCTGCGGGATGCCCGGGAAAGGCCTCCAGCACAATGTGGGGTCTGAGCTGAGTTTTGAAGGGGGCCAGGGAACCCAGGAAGTGAAGGTGAAGAGAAAGCATTCCTAATATTGAGGACTTTCAGTCCAAAGGCATGACCAGTTTGCCTGGGTAGTAGGGTTAGGGTTAGGGTGAGTGGAGAGGTCACATGGTCAAAACTGAACTTTCAGAAGATCACTTTGGCAGCTGAGTGAAGGATAGATTCTAGTGGGGGGGAACTATGGCCTAGAGACAAACCAGGACACTGTCGCAATAGTCCACCCATGGGTGATAAGGCCTTCATCTGGTGGGGGGGGTGTGGCTATATGACTGGGGAGAACAGGACACATGTGAGAGATATTGTGAAGGGAGAAACAAGATTTGACAACACATTGGATGTGTGGGCCCAGTTCAAGTGAAGAGCTCAGGATGACACAGAGTATGAGCCTGGGTGACTGGGAGGGTGATGCACTCCATTAAAATAATAGGAAAGTTGGGAAGAAGCAAAAATTTGGGGGTAAAGATGAGGAGTTCTGGGGGCATCTAGCACCAGCTCTGGAATCAGGAGGACCTGAGTTCAAATCCAGCCTCAGACACTTGACATTTCCCAGCTGTGTGACCCTGCACAAGTCACTTAACCCCAATTACCTCACCAAAAAAAAAGCAAAAAAAAAAAAAAAGATGAGGAGTTCTGTTTGTATCATGTTGGATTTAAGATTTCTATAAGGCATCCAGTCTGAATTGTACAAAAGGCAGTTGGCATTGTGGGGTCTAGAGGTCAGGAGAACATCAGGGAGTGGAAAGAGTCAAAAACAAAGCCTTGGGGGACACTCACTACATGTTGTGTGAGTTGGGTGGAAATCCAGAAAAAAACACTGAGGAGTGACCATACAGGTAGGAGGAGAACAGAGGCATGAAAACCTAGAAAGGAGAGAGTATTCCAGAGGACAGGGTGAGTGACAGTGTCCAAAGCTGAAGAGAGCTCAAGAAGGATGAGGATTGAGAGAAGGCCACTGGATCTGGCCATTAGGAGATCAGTGGTCACTTGGGAGAGAAGAGTTTTAATTGAATGAGGTCAAAAGCTATCGTGTGAAGGGTGTAGAAGACAGTGAGAGGCTAAGAAGTGGAGGCACCTGGTGTGTATGGCTTTCTTAAAAAAGAGAAGAGAGAGGATGTGAGCTAACAGGGAGACTTGGAAATGCTGGTAAACACAGGGAAGGAACTGGTACCTAGAGAGAAACTGAAGATGAGAAAGAGAGCATAGGGAAGATCATGGAGACAACCAGCTGGATTAGACAGGAGGGGGCAGGATCAAGGGTGAATGGCAAGGAGAAGGGCAAAACTAGTGAGAGATGACGTCTGAGTGAGGTGAGAGGAGGAGGAGGGGAGAAGAGGGAGCACTTGGCAATGTCCTCTGCCGAGAGGCTGGGGAAAGGCTGTGGCATAGGAGGCTTGAGGACGGATGAAAAAGTTTAGAACTCATTATGTATAGGGGGTGAGAGTAAGGGATTGAGAATGACTCCAAGGTTATAAACCTGTGTGAAGGGGAGAATGGTGGTGCCCCCAGCAATAACAGGGAAGTTGGGAAGAGGGGTGGCAGAAGTAGGGGGCAGATGATGCGTTCTGTTTTGGCCGCATTGAGTTTGAGAAAACAACGGGAGGGACATCTTTTCTGAAATGTCCAATAGGCACTTGGTGATGTAGGACTGGAGCTCAAGAGAGAGTCTAGGACTGGAAATACTGATCTGCTAGTCACATGCATAGAAATAGTAATTGAATTCATGAGCGTCTTAATGGAGACAACATCAGTGCAATCACTTAACATCATGGGTGGGAAGATTGAAGCTGGGATAGCGTTAGATGTTTAGGAGCATAGAAAAAAAAAGCTGGAATCACAGAGCCTCAGAGGCCAAGACCAGTCCCCTCTTTTTAACATTGGAGAAACTGAGGTAC